GAGAGAGAGAGAGAGATCCACGGTGGCGGCGTCCGCGGCAGGCCATCGTGGAAGGGGGTATGCAAGGGTGGGGGTTGGAAGGGGGGCGTAGAAGGGGGAAAGGGGAGGTAAGAGGCGGTGGAAGATGGGGGGTCGAACACCCTGTCCAAGCGGTGTGCCCATCGGACTCACCGCGTGTAGCTGTCGCCGATGCCTGAGGTGACAGAGAGATAGATGCCTTTCGTCTAAGTCCAACCTCGTAAGACATCGACGATGGCGAGAACCATCGTTTTATGTCTGTCTGTCTTCCGAGAGAGAGAGAGAGAGAAAGAGAGAGAGAGAGAGAGAGACAGAGAGAGAGAGAGAGAGAGAGAGAGAGAGAGAGAGAGAGAGAGAGAGAGCAACCGTTCATTACAGATATGCATGTCGTCGCGACATGCATATGTCTATGTCTACCACGATGTGACGATCTCGCATGACGTCAACCAACTGCGACATGCGCCGCGACGTGCCATGTGTGTACTTAGACGCGCACGATGACCCGGTACCGTCGCGYCGCGTCTCGTTGTGTACTGCCTRTAGTGGAGAAGTGACGTGGCTTGCACGAAACGACCACGTCGTATCAGCCGCGGTAAACCGTAGGCACGAAAAAACAATAATAATAAAAATAAAAAAACATTGCACAAGGAAAGTGGAAACAATCCGATAAGTGATGCAAAACACTTGGCCAAATAACAAAAGCGAAAAAAATACGGAAATAATTGAATAAAATAATATAAAAGAAAATAATACAACCAACTTCATTCCTCAAAAAATGTTTTCTTTTTCATTTCTTATTTCTTTTCGGTTGTCCGGATCCGTGAACACGGACATCGTGCAGGACGACGTCGTCCCTTACCACCGGGCCTACCGGGTCCCACATTCGAAACGACACATCGGGATGGGACTCGGTAGGCCACGAAAAACCGGCCGTCCGACCCAAAAACAGCGACCAGGCACTGCAGGTCGTCCGAGGGTTTTCGGCAGCGGGGGGACCTGTGGTTTAAGTCGGCTGGGAATCTTTCTTTTCCTAACACAATTAAGAATCGACGACCATCTTAAAATCATAGCAGACTTTATCTCACGTATCTCGTCGACATGCGGAAAGGCAATCGGGATAGCAAAGTAGCTAAACCATCCCTTCCTCCGGAACCATCTCCTAAGTCTGTGGTTCCTACCGTCATCAGTCTGCAAGGATTTCCTAATATGCTCGTCTCATTTAACCTTCAGCGGAYGAATGGTAGCSCCAATGTAAGTCGCCTTATGCCAAGGAGATAGTAGCACATACACACAGGGGCCGTTCCATCTGCACAAGTCCACACCATTTTCCAGAGAGTAATTCCAATAGTCAACGGATTTCTCTGTCCACCGTAGTTGTCCATAACATGCCAGCGTTAGGATGAGAAATCACATGAACGTATCCAAGCTAACTGCACTCTTCCCTTGCCACCCTTCATTCCTCCTTCGTTCTCTTATACGTTCAAGGGAGGTCGAGGARGAAGGTAGGTCACCAGATTATCAAGAGGGGTTCTCCTCTTGAGGTTCTTCCTCGGAGAGTTCATCATCATTATCCTCACCATAAGCGTCAATAGCGTGTAGCTTAGCCAGAGCAGCAGTAGTGATCTTCTTGTTCACATACTTGATACGATCCTTCTTACAAAGCTCTTCTAACTCGTGCTTGGTCTTCACCATGAGCTCCTCAATCAGGTCCTTGATATACTTCTTGTGTCCCTCTTTGTTAGGACCAGCGACAACTGCCTTCTTTCCTCGATGGATACGATCGAACCCCATGTCTTGCGAAGCCCCCTCGTTGATGGTGATTCCCAAGGATCTTYTTCTTGGTCCGTTCCCAGCCACCAATGCGAATATCCCAGCAAAGTGCGCAGAGAAGCCATGGCCAACAGGAGTCCCRGGCTGTTCACTCCTGGTCCTTGAAGGCCMGGGCTTCGTCGCCGAGCACGTTCTTCGAGACACAGGGGCCTGGGGAGGTGGAGGAGGGGGAGGGGCAACTTGAAGGGGAGAATTCGGCGCAGAGGGAGCAGGCATAGGAGGGGGTGGAGTGGGTTGGACACCTGGTGGGGCAGAAGGTTGCTGCGCAGGGATGGGCGGCTGGACAGGATCTGCGGGGGGAGGAGGAGGAACGTGAGAAGGGGGAGGGGGAGGAGGAGGAGGAGGAGGAGCGGCATGATGGTGGGGGGCGGGGTAGGCATGGTGTGGGGGAAACTGAGGGACAGTTGATGCGACAGCACGTGGGGTAAGGAGCGCCGCACCGTGTTCCTTGATGGTCTTCAGGCAGTTAAGCATCTTCTGGAAAAGCAGGGAATGGGCATCTTGTGCCTTCCTCACGTTATCGAGGTCCATCCGGAGCAGACCAGTAATTAACGGGGTTGCCTCGCTTCCCACCAGTTGTCTCCCTGCCGATTGTTGCAAAGGAGCAGAGTGATCGCCTGCCATGGCGACCTGATCCCTCTTTCGATTGTCTACATTCTCGCTATTCTTTCCACCCTCCCCATCCTTGGGAGGTTTTTCTATTTTCTCTAATTTCTCCCAATCCTTCGTGCTAGATTCACCGGAGGCGCCTTTCTTCTTCGCCTCCATCTCCTCCATTTGCTTCCTAAAGAGCCGTGTCATTCTCGCCTCCCGCTCTACTTCCTTCTTTTCTTCAGCCTTGGCACGTCGCTCGTCTTCTTCCCGTGCCAACCTTGCTTGCTCCTCTATGTTCCGCCGATCCTCTTTTTCCTGTCGTTGTTCCGTCTCTTCGCGCCGATCGTTCCATAGCTCCTGTAAGATCATCATAGCCTCGCCTTCCGATCCTACGTCCCTTGGTCTGTTCCATCCCCGACCATTCGTTCCGCCGAAAGCCCCGCGAGGTGGCTGGTATGGGACGATCGCAGTTGAGGCTACCGGAGCGATTGCGTTGGAGGAAGCCGCAGCTGGAGCCTGCAAGAGCGGAGGTTGCAGACCTTGCACATTCATTGGCTGAGASGRAGGAGGGGGAAGTGTTAGCGGAGCAGATGAGAGAGGAGGGGCCGAGGAGAGAAGGGGGGCTGATGGAGCGTGGGGGCCATGAGGCCCGTTAAAGATCGGGCGGCCGTGGGCGTACCCGCCATCTTGTCTAGTCTGCCCAGTACCGTAGCCCTCACTGCGAGGAGGGTATGGGCACCATCTTGCGAAATGACCATACATCCCGCAGTTACAACAATTTCGATTGAAGCCACCTGCTTGCCCTCCATCCGCCATTAGATACGCACGTTAAAACTTCGAAAAGCCAAATAATATGAATCGTAAGACAACTATTCAGCAGGAGGGGAGAGGGGTGTGGACTAAGGAAATAGGA